TTTTGAACACTCAAACTTTCCTAAGGAAATAAAATGAAAGAAATTGGTAAATAAAACAAATAAATTAGCAATTAAATAAAAAATACATGAAAAAATAAATGAATGAACGAACAGATAATTGGATGAATTAACAAATGAAAAAATGAACAAGACGTAAAATAATTTAACTAACAAAATAATGTACAATTATCAAATTCATTAATAATTCAAGGTAAACACAATGGAAAATCATTGCCGTGTCCGCATCTTTATTTGAGCAAGAGATTTGTCTTGATTTGCATATGATTTTAACTTCAWTTTTCTCTTACAAATGATATTTTAGCCTGAAGTTTTTTGTGAAATATGCTTTAGCCTATGTTGGAATTTGATAACCAATATGAAATATTCTCGTCCAACCTTTATGGGCTCTAAAACTTCTCGCTTGCAGTTTCATATGCCCATAAAGGTCCCCCGCTCATATTATATAATTATTAAATTACATAGAAATGTTAATATTCAGTAGACACAACCAAAAAAAGATATGGTTGTCCACTTGCAGACGTTCTAATAATTAGACAGCTTCAATAATCATGGACAGCTTTCCAAATCCCTGTCTTTTTTTCTTCCATACAAACACTGTCACCGACAGTTTCTCATAGGCGAACAGCTCTACTAACAGACAATTTTTTCCATTCCGCTTACTAGAGACTCAGTTGTAATGATAATAACTGTAGTTGTACCTGAAACAAGTAACATTTTTGCAATCATAGGATCCAAAGGAAATTCTGCCATACTAACACCCAAGGGTTCMACAAGTTTCCCACTGTCATCAATAGCTAAAAAATACAACAAAAAGATTTCAATCATTTCAAAGTCTACGATATCATTGTGTCATAAATGTGTTTTACCATCAAGTGCGTACAATAACTCYAGTCCTCGGATCATTGACTGTGYRGGTGGTCTCTGGGAAAAGCAAGTGTCTGAGTATTATATATAGGGTTTATCATTATCAAGGAATGCTGAATAAAATACAAATACAGTGTTTTAAAAACTTACCGAGGGAAAGTCAAATCTCAAAACATTATCAATGCCCATGCTCTTGAGTTGAAGTAAAACTGGAGCCAAATCACTTCTATAACAAAACAAAAGAATTGTATTACACTATTAATGTTTTATCTAGGCAAAATACACACAGTATTCTACATCAAAATATAATTTCTTATTATTTATGGAACATACCTTTGCATCTCTGGAACTGATCCTGGTTTGAGCTTGTTATAAGCTTCTTCTATAATCACAAATGTAAAAAAAAAAAAAATGAGTGAAAAGAAAAACGTAAAAAAAGAATGAGTAGAATTTGTAAATGAAAGGGAGAGTGGGGGAAGAAAAGAGATAGGAGAAGAGAAAGAAACGAAAAAGGATGACACTTATGAAAACACTAACTTGTACTAACCTGTGTAAAGTCTGTAAGCTTTCCCTGCAGAGTCAGAACAAGAATGTATCAATATCATTTCATGGAAAAATTAGTAGTCTAACAAATAGTACTATAAATGGGATTTAAAAACAGATTTGCACCTGCTCTAACTCTTCCAGCTCTTCCAGTCCTCTGTTCAGCAGAAGCTTGTGCTACTTCAGTAACAACTAGACTTTCTGAAAATGAATGTAAAAAAATTGGTGAGTCTAAATGCTGGTCCCTCTTGACACTAAAGGCTTACAAATTCTGGTCCCTCTTGACACTAAAGGCTTACCTATTCCTGTTTTTGGTGAATATGCCTTGATCTTGACAAACCCACAGTCAATAACTGTAAATAACAAAGTCTGTATTAAAAACACTTTAATCATTTAATCATTTTAATACATAGCATGTATAAAACTGGGTTATCTTATTTAAGGATTACCGAAAGCAATGCCATCTATGGTTAATGATGCTTCTGCAATGTTAGTTGCTACCACAACCTGAACAAACAGCAAATCAAACTACAATAAGTATTAATGAACCATCAATGAATTAATGAACCAAATTATAAAACCTTTCTGGTATTGTTTGGAGTTCTCTGGAAAACCAGCATCTAAAAGAAACAAAAGTATGAAAAGGTAATATATAACATTTAGCAAAACATTGTATTGTGGCAGTTTSCTTTCTACATGTCAACTGGACTAAAGATCCCTTTATTAATAAGGAGTTTCTTATAACTTTAAGGTCATACCGGTAATAACTTGAATAGATTTACCTGTTCAGAATGGGGAAGTCCACTATACATTGGAAGGATCTTCAAATATTGAGAACCCTTTGGCATTGCTCTGGCTCTATCTCTATTTGAATTAAAATTTACATATTTTGACTTGGAAGACAATTAAAAATTAAATTAGAAATAGCAATGGGCCCTCTCGTCAGGAGATTAATTATACTTTGGGATATATTTAAATTATATTCCTCACCTTAATTTATCCACTGTTGATTCAACTTCATCCTAAAATCGAACTTTCAATATTAGACTGATGAAGAAAATACATTACTTTAAATAATGAATATATGAATTAAAAATTAGAAATTAGTCATCTCATAATCAAATAACTAAATGCTTATACTTGTCCTGTAAGAAAGGCCAAGATGTCACCGCGTCCTTCTTGTAGATGAATTCCCATTACAGTATCAACAGTACTCTTGACATAATCTGCTACTGGGCTAAAAAAAAACACCAATAAAAACATAAAGTTAAAACCAGTGAGAATAAGTGAAGGAAGTAACTTGCACTCTAAAGGATTTCAAAGATTTCCATGCCATTAATTCCTGTTCAAGGTGCATTCAAAATTAAATAATCAAAATAGATTAAATAATTTAAATACAACCTTAGTGTATAATGTACATCTACAGGAAATGATCTTCCTTCCACTGACAAAATGGCCACTGTGTCTTTGCTAAAATGAAACAATTACTATTTTTGGTCAACTCATCAAATTGTAACATTCCTAGTACATGTAACTGGACAAGGGGCGTGAGGAACATGTAAACTGAATGTTTTTGCTAATATACGAGATACAAACTTTAACTGCACCAAAAGCATGGACTTGGTCAAAATACCTTGAATCATCAGTTACGTTGGTGTTGAAAAAATCTTTGAACATCTGAATTCAAATGAATAAAGCAATTAAATAAAACATTGTCTTAATTTCTAATAGAGCAGATTTCATACGACTGTGCAAATAACACCGCACTTTCAAGCAGTAACCGTGCTCAAATATATTTTCGTTTGACATCACAACCAGGAGAGGCTCCGTGACTGTGCCATGTTGTGTCAGTGTCKTGATCCATGCTTTTCACAGTAAAAAAGTAAAATCCTCTCTAGAAATATAGCAACAATGTTGGGTCTTTACCTCAGCATCAAGTGTTGCCGATGAAACAATCACTTTTAAATCACTTCGTTTTTTCTTAATCTACCAATGAAAAAAAAGCATGATGGTAATAACATTTGAGATTTAATGATCATAATATTACAAATTCCTAGTTGCAATTCTCACATACATCATTATAACAACTACCTTTTTCAATAGACCAAGGATAATGTCTGTATAAAGCGTCCTTTCATGGGCTTCATCGATCATGATGACACTGGAAAAATTCGGTTCAGCTGTTCACAACATGTGGCAAATTTTGGCATTTTTGCATTAAATTTATATGGTGACAGATTGAAATATCAATCAATGTGACTTTAATGTGGCTTTAATAAACGTTGGCGATAGAGCAATATGAGAATGTTGCTTAGTGGCCACTTAATGGGTGACCAATTAAACAAATATACCACTAGTACTAAATGTTACATTTGTTCACACTATTAACGTTTCTAGCTCTGGGGATTGCACATTCAGCTGCAAAGAGGGTGTGTTTGRATGATAGATAACTCTATCAGACACCAAAATCAAGTGCAATGATTAATACTATAGTGCAAAGACAGCACTAGATAAACTATTTTTCCTTGTGCAGTTACCTGTATTTTGTTAGAAGGGGGTCACCCATAATCTCTCTCAATAAAATACCATCTGTCATAAACTGAAGATGACAACAGAACTAATCATGGAAGTCAAGTTAATTAATCAACCAATCAACCAACCAATCAATTGTATGGAGCAATCATTTGACCAATCAAGTAATCAACCAATGGCTCCAATGATTTTTCAACAAATTGAAGAAAAGCTGTACTATATTTTTTACCTTGATCTTAGTCAGCTGTGAATCACAACAATTGTCAAACCTRACAGCATAACCAACATCTTGGCCAACCAAACAACCTTTCTCATCTGCAACYCTCATTGCCACCTACAAGCAGATTATAACAGTAACCTGTCAATCAAGGATCAACAATCAATGAAATAACAATTGTAAAACGTAGTCTTACAGTTACTGCTGCAACTCTTCTAGGCTGYGTTATGCCAATCTTTTTTCCATTTTCCGTCCAACCACTTTCTAGTAAATACTACATTTTTTGGAATTTAAGCATAAACAGAATTATAGATTGGTCGAGGGCCGTTGTCAATCCTAGGACAGACAAATGAAATGACGAATCGCTCGCGCACGGAGCCGGCGTGCGCTAGAAACGGTTTTGTTTTTAAAGTTTTACTTTGTTTTCAGTTTTTGCTTACGCTCGTGGTTCCACTTGAGTTTTGAGCATTTTGACATCAATTTCATTGTCAATAAGAGTACAGACAATGGAAAACCGCCTGCGAATTGTTATAAATTTTAGATTGACAGCTGACATTCAATAAATCTTGAAACCACCAAAAAAATGAACTTGCCTGTGGAATCTGAAATTAAAAAAARAACTGATTTTAAAAAAATACGATACATAATAATAATTGTTCAAGTCAAAATCACATACTCTGAAATAGAATATGATTTATCACAGTAGATGGTGGGATCACGATTGGTTGGTAATTTTTGGTGTGGTAACCCCTGATAGATCCCCAGTAGAGTAAGCTTCACATAACATGAAGTTCTTCAAAAGAGAAGGAGTGGCTAGGAGTAGAAAACCCTTCTTTGAGCCCTACACATACCTGTGTTGACTTGCCACATCCAGTTTCGCCAACAATAATTACTGTTTCATACTTTTCCAAAAGATATAAAATATTTGTTCTGTGCTGTCGATAATAGATGCAGAATATGTATATTACAGTCAACTCTCACCTTACGAACATCTCACTATTACGGACTCCTCGATATTACGCACAGTAAAATAAGTTTACTGAATCCCCGGTGGAAAAAACAAAAAAACAAAAAACAACAACAACAACAAAGAAATGACTGTTTAATGCATTTATTGATAATTGTTCACTCATTTTGACAATATACACACATACTTTAAATATAGGGAGACGCTGTCGTTGCAGAGCAATGGATAACGATGCGTGAGGGTTATAAACCACGGATACAGAATTGTCATCGTTGGCGCGTTCTTCGTTGATACTCGATTCAGGCCCGTCTGATCCTTTATAAGGCAAGATCAAATGACAATAGTCTTCTAAGTTAACTTTTGAAAGAAATTTTAGGATTATCTTACCTGGTTTCCAAAACTTTGGCTTCCATTTTGAAGACATAATTTGTCAATAGTTAAAACACAAATTTACCGAACTTCA